TCTAAACAGAGAACATCATCTGGCACTTATTTATCAGCATATAGTGGAGTCCTTAAAAAAGGGGGGGGGCAGTTTTACTGTAAAAAATTACTTGCTTCCCTCCTTGTGTTTGTGAACAAACAATTGGTTTAATGGTTTAGTTGGAAGTTGCACCACAGGTCATGGAGACGGCCTCAGTAGATTATTTGATATAGTTCCATTCTAGTCTGACACCCTGTCTTCCCTTTCCCATCTCTTTCTAGTTGTCCCTTTCATGAAACACTGTTACACCAGGAAATAGAAGCCTTTCTGCCTCTCAGCAATACATTGGTCCCATTCCATTCCAATGAAGGGAAGATTTTTTTTCCAACACTAACTTCCTCATCCCAAAGAAGGCTGGGTATCCAGTCCTTGCTTTAAGACGGTCAGCATCTTCATATGCTCCTTCAAATTCAGAATAGTGACCAAGGTCTTAGTGCTCTGTATTGCTACACAGGACTCCACACCTGTCACACCCTCTATTGACTGGGGATACATAGCAAGCATACCGTTGCTATTTTCCCTTGTCAGCCCCTGGTGGTCTGGCAGCACATAGTTTCTGACCCTGAAGCTGCTCGGTGTAATTAACATTTTTGTCAATGTCATACTATTGTTAGCAGCAGCTGCAGTGTCCAAGGAACGTCCAGGCCACCTGAAATAACAACTACAACAACAAATTCTGGTTCAATTAAGATCAATAAACCTTCAAAAAAATCTCCAATTTGGAACCTACTTTTCAGTCAGCCTTAGTAAGGATGCCAAAGGGCATTATTAACATGTGTCCCACCCATGGGCCTTTGCAGCATCATGGGTGGTCAGAAAAGATAGACACTGCTGCTTGTTAAGAGGCAGACCCCTGCATCTGGTATACTGCCCCATGGCAGTATATACTATATTACTATATACTATATTATAGTATACAGTATATACTATATTAGGGAAGGAGTGGACAGATTGCACACCCTCAATGTTTGCACACCCTGCCTTTTAACTGAAAGATGATCAAACCCTTCAGAACTTCCACAAGACTGTTTTTATAATTAATGGATATTGGTATTAGATTTATTGTTACAAATTAACTAGATGGAATCCCCAGCTAAACTAGGAGTCGAGCAGCTACTGCTCTTTCTTTGAAAACATCCCCGTTTTGGACGTCAGTAAGGCAGGTGCAGAGATTCAGTACGTTGTTTTACCAAACATTGTTCTAGAGTTGAATGCTCTGGGTTGAATGCTTTTTTTGGCAGACTCTGCAGTCTTCATATCAGTAAACTGTTAACATTTTCCTACTTGGGTTAGATTCCTGCCTGACGGTCTCCAAGAATAGAATGAATGTAGACACGGGATGAATAATATAAAGCAGTGGTGCTGTGTATGTGTGAGAGAGAGAATGCACATTATGTACACATACAGTCTGAAATAAATAATATGTACACACACGTGCACACACATGGATAGAGTTTATATCTAGATCAGATAGATGGATGTGGATTATTTATCTTGCAGCATGTCAATTTTTGTAAAAGTAAGTAAAGTTTCTTCTGGATTTATCTCAATCAATTTACCCATCTGTAATGATGCTCTAGTGGTTTAAAAGCAGGTATTTTTCCAAACAAGAGCGTGATGAAGAAGGGAGGTAAAAGGCCAAGCTTAATTTGATTCATCTCCCTGTCAAACTTTGTACAATACAACAAGAAGAAAAAAAGCTGTTTATTCACATCCCAGGAACTTCTGTTTTATATGTTTGTTTGTTTGTTTGTTTGTTTTCATATCTGTATTTATTAGATTTTTTTTACTTTAGAGCATAACTTTTATGATGATAGAAATATATATTTGCATTAACTATTTACCTCTGTTTCTGTTAACTAGAAATACAAAACTAAAAGTATATTGTCTTTTTGCTTAGGAAGGGGATTCCAAGTAAACAAGTAAAACATGCAGATCGAGAGCAGACAAAGCGCATTGTCTATTCTGTGATTTATGGAGCAGGTAGGAAATTATATACAAGAAACTAGATTAACTAGAGTTGTAAGAAATCTGAGTTAATGCTTTGATTTTTAACAACTAGCCAGTGCACTGACTTCCTGAAGTGAACAAAATAGTCTTAGAATGATTTTAATTTTTCTTGACTAGCAAAAAATATTCTACTTAAACTGATATATTGATTTTTATCTAGGGTTTGGACACACGTGGGAGTGAGAGAGAGAGTAGTTATGGGTGTGTACTTGCATGATTGAAGCATCACTCTTTTTACCCACATGAAATTAGTAGACTTCCATGTAGAATATTTTCTGTATTCTGGTGATAGAGAGCTGCTAGAGGTGGGCAAAGTGGCTACTATGGAACAGAATTTAGTCTCATATATTGTTCTATGGTCCCTGGCACATTCATTTAATGGTGCAATAGGATCAGATCCCCAATTCTAATAATTGTTTGTCCTGTCATGCCACACACACATGGTGGGAGCCACGTTTGCACAATTAGGGATCAGACTACAATCGCATTGGGCATTTATTTGTACACTTGCTTGGACACGCATTTTTAAAAGCACCTGGCACTGCAGAGCATGCACTTGTATAAATGGTAATATGTGTGTCAGCACTGAGAAAATGGTTGCAGCGTGCTTTTGAACTAAAACTCAAAGAAGATGTTTTAGTTCAAAAGCACACTGATGCCATTTTCTGCGTGCTGATAAGCATTTTGCCACTTACACAACTGCACGTGACACAGTGCAGTGCATGTCAGCTCACATGCAGAGCAGACTTGATTAATTGAGTCTGCTTCAATCCGCTGGATTTCTGGCATGTTGGAGCAGACAAATGTGTATAAATTCCCAATTTTACTACTTTCCAGTATAGAAGGATCCACTGCCCCTGCACAGGCAAATTGAAAAAGCAGTGCCTGCAGATCGAATATGGCTGTCAGCTGAGCACTGGGACCCTATTTGGGACTTGAATGGGCCCCAGTGCTATTTGGGGCCAGGCCAGCCATCAGCTGACTGTCGGTCCCAGCCCTGAGGGCAGTTCAAGTCCCCAGTGCAATCCGGAGGCCGGAGCTGATAACCAAGCCCAATTCTTTAAGTTCCTGGGGTGCCCATTAAAGCAGCAGCTAGGAGCTCCACTCCACACCTGCAGACAGTACTTCACTGTGTGGGGCATGGGCAGCTGGGCATCCAGGAACAGTCTCAAGCTAGACCCAGGCCTGTTTCGGCCAAGGCCATGCAGCAGCTGACTGTCAACCATGCACCTCATAGCTGTGGCCAAGCTGCTGGCTGCATGGGATCAGAGGCTTCTAGCTGGGGGAAGGGAGCCAAAGGGCTCATTGGGACCTTTGATCTCCCGTACCAAGCAGCCTGGTTAGAGCTTCTGGTCATGGGATTGATTTAAAGTCTGTGGCAGGAAGCCCAAGGAAACTGCTTCAGCAGCACTCTTTTTGAAGCCCCCCATGCACTGAAACCCAGCTGCCCATGCTCCATACCACAAAGTTGTTACATGCCAGCTGAGCACTGTGAGTGTATCAATTTTATCACAGGCC